ATTTTAAATTTATAATGAACCTTCCCATTTAAAAATTTTGCATTTTTTTTTTTCAATTTTTACACATGTATACACAATAAGAAAAAAAAATTTTATATATGATTTGTATAGGTTTTTTCATTAACAATTTTGTACACTATTATCTTTGAATAAGACCACATAAGCTTTCGGGAATATTTAAAACAATAATTGGAATTGTATTCAAATTACACATTTTTTTTTGTAATTATAAAGATAATAATCGCATTAACAGAATACAAAAAAATCTAATAAAAAAAAAATAAGATTTTTACAAGTCTTAAAACCTTAATCTGTGTAACTTTAGCTATAAATTGAGGCGATTTCTTTTATAAGGGATCCATTCGATGTGACTTTTTTTTGTCAACAAAATTTAAGTATAATCGATCTTTATTATATGTAAGATAAAAAAATGAAATGTAATTAGGATGTGTATATAAAAAGCTCTTAGGCTGACATTTACAAATTCAATGGATTTTACCAAAAATTAAAATCACATTTTCTGACAGATTTTCTGGCCTATAGGTTTCATTAATCACTAATGAAAAAATATTTTTCTTATATTCATTGAAACAAGGAAAATATTTTTTTTTTGTTGTCCTTAAAGAAGATTTGAATTTCTATATCCTTATTGTCCCTTATTATCAATTCAACTAGCAATTATTATCATTACTTACATTTTAGTAAACTACTCATAGCTGGGTATTAATATAGTGCAGGGTTTCTTAAACTTTTTTATATAGCGACCCCCTTCAAGCTTAGGAAATTTTAAACGACCCCCCCCTCCATATAATGAAATATATATTAACCGTAGATGTATATGTAATATCGCACTATTTTACAATGCAAATAAAATAAGGGTTAAAGAATACGTACCCATTCATTTCATATATATAATTGGAAACGTTGTTGGGATATCGGTGGTAATAAAACACAATAAATAGAATGACATAAAACTATATAATATATATTTATTCAATAGAAAAAATAAACTTTTGTAACAATTTTTTGACCCCCTTTCAGTAGTCTCGCGACCCCCCTTGGGGTCGCGACCCACAGTTTAAGAAGTCCTGATATAGTGTATTCGGTGTAAGGGTGCTGATAGTTAATAAATAGATCAGTATTAGTTAGTATTTTAGTTCGCCTTCTTAAAAGGCATTGATTTTAAATTAATGTATAAGTGCGTTAGACGTAAGGTGAATCGCGATTAGTTCACTGTTTCGGTAAAATGTATATATAAAATAAATTAGAATTTGGTAAGCAAAGAGTAATTTTTTAAGCAACAATAATGAACAATTCTATTTTTTATTTTGATATAATTCGCAAAATTAAAATTTTTTAAAAATATTTCTAAAATTTGATTTAAGAACATAATTAATTGTCACGAATCTGATCATTAAATTAATTTTGACAATAAGTGATAGAAATGCGAAATTTTCAATTTACTAAATATTCTGAAATATAAATTTATTTATTCTTACCAGACTTGTAGCATACATTACTTGTAGGAGTAGATATGAGTACGACAAACTAATGAAAATTTACACATAGAATGTTGTTTTTTTTTTGCAAAACGAAACTTTTATTAGAGCAGTAAAAAAACTACATTAATTCAACCTTAATCTTTTATTTTGAATAAAAAGATATAGCCCATATAAAAGAATAAATTTGCACAACTCTACTAATCTCAACTACTACATTATGATGTGATTAAGGAATGCTTAATGTTTAGAGAGTATAAAGTCTGCAAACATTTTCCTCGCGTTTAAAAACGGAAACATTTTAAATGATCCATTTAAATTTATAAAAGGATAAAAAAACATAATAAAAATATGTATACATGAACATATATAAATAATAATTTATTTGGAATGGAAGCCATATTACTCTTGTGATTTCCTTTAATTGCATTAATATGGGTCGGAAGACTTAAAAATTCTTTTGTCGCATTACAAAATACATATATGTATGTATATAATTTTAATGTCCAAAACTCCAAATAAAATATGTTTATCTAAGGAAATAATTCAAATCAACTTCATTTACTTAAATATGTTATACAAAGTGTCTCGCATGAAAGTGCGTTTATCAAAAAATTATTGAAATCAAAACTGAATTATGGGGTTGTATCAATGAGAGGTGCCATATGATATTTTCTAAGCTATTACTTTTTGAAAATTTAAAAGAAACTCGATTGTTAAGTTGAACGTTTCCCCGTTATGCAAATAAAAATTAAAGGGACACCCTTTTGAAAACTTATACATTTTTCTAAGTCATTGAAGGAAAAAATTTGGTATAAAACAACATTGGCAGTACTCTATTTTCCTCAATAAATCTTTAACCAGAACAGGTATAAAGATGACCCATATACGAAATTAAAGATCAGTTGATAAGATGGCCAGCTGTGTTAAAACTGGAGAAAGCACAAAGGTCTACTAGAATATTAACATTTTTTTAAAATGATAAGATTAAATTTCAAATTTTTCAAAATTTAGGATCATGTAATTCTCAAATCTAAACAGATTACAGCTAATGTAAATATTCATAAGGAAGCCCTTATTCTGAGGTTTCCAAATCATATTTAATATGTCTCCTATCTTATACAGGTACAGAGTTATACCTAAAATTCCAAAAAGTAAAAACCGAACTTGTCGAGCTATGAACATAGTCTTAATACAAAAATTTTCTACACATGTAGGTATGTACATATGTTATTAATTAATACATATACAAGTAATTAGTCGAAGAAAATATCTTCTATCCTATTTATTGTCATAATAATGAACATTTATAATAATTATGATGATTTTCATAGAAATGCATCATTTTACAGCATAACGATACTCGTAATATTTACTTTACATAAGTATGTACATATGCCCATAGATATAAATTAAAAATACAAAGAAATACAAATATTTCTCAAATATAATTTATATTAATATGCAAAAAAACATTATTAATAAAAATTTATTAAATTTTTAAATGCAAAATAAAAAAGATATTTAACAGCAGCGCTGATTCTCTTTCCTTCATAATTTTATGATGATAAAGTGAAAATTTTGTACTACATACGTCTGTATAACTTTGTTACATTATTATATAAGTAGCTCTGCTATATTTATAAATATCTTATTTCTGTAATATTTGTATGTAAGGCCTTACTGTATGATAGATAGATATATCAAAGGATCATTGAATATTTCATTAATCTATCGCTGTACTTGATGTGTATAACAAGTATATAAGTCTGTGTTTTCAATAAATATTTGATGTATGATTGATTTTTATTCCCATATAAGAAATTAAAAGGTAATTCACCCAAAATTATAATGGAATTTTTTTTAATATTATTCATGAAATTTCTTTTTTTTTATAATAAGCAACATTTTTTGTGGGTTTAAAAAGCTTTGGAATTATTAATAAATGAAAGTAATTGATTTTCATGATCAGAAAATGACAAATATGGTTTAGTATCAGTAAAGGACCAACAACAAATTCTTAAGTTTGCATTATTTGTCAATTATTACTAACCGCATTGTGTAAACAGTAGGTAGGTTATGTGATGGTAATAAATTTTGCATATTGAATTTTAGGTGGGAACGCACTTCTCCATGGTAGGGAAGTGTAAATAAACTATTTTTAGCAAACTGTCGGTCTGTCGATCTGTGTGGGTACGCGTGTATCTCAAGTTCGGCTAAACCGATTTTGATGAAATTTTATATGTAAGCTTATTTTGACTATGGCACGGATTGATCAACTTCTGGGATATACCAGGCCTCGGGAACTGCATTTTTTAGCGGGCCTATTTTACATTTTTGACCATTTTGAAGAAAATATTATTCAATCAATTTACTTGAAATTTCATAGATAAGCTTTGATGGGCTAATGCCCTAAAAATTGGAAAGATAAGTATTTGACAGGCATTTTTATAATATTCTGTAACATTTTCACTTAACTAGACAATGCACATTGTGGCCAGTTATGTGCTGACTATATCAGAGTATTTTTTTTTTTTGCCTTCGAAAAGGTGCTAAACATTTGGTTCTTGCTTATGAAATAAATTTTAGCACATTTATTTTTTAAAATCTGACAATTTTTTATATGAACTCATTCTGACGTACTTTCCTAACAATAATTACGTATTATACTCAATTATTGAGTATTTAATGTAAGTCTTACAGCAATTTAGTTTTAAACTACAAAATTTATTTTGCAGTAAACCTAATATAAATTTTTCATAGGAAAAGTGAGGAAATGTGCTTGGAAAATAAAAATATCGATAATTAATTATTGTATGTGTTTACTGAAAACAAAATTCCAATAGCCAGAATCACTAAAATAAACTGTTTCAAATAGTATCCCATTCCTATTATATTTCAAATGAATAGTAAAAATTGTTCCTTACATTAAATTTATTTCTGTAGATTTATAATACCCAAGAATTAATTAGAACCGCAATGTTGATGCCTTTTAATGGGTTTTATATTGCGTTAAAAAACATGAACTTTGATGTTTCAATATTTTGTTTGTATACATACGTTAATATTGTGTATTGCCATTATTACACAAAATTATTACAAATAAATGTGAATTACACATTTCTCTTTGTGATTAATAAATTAAAAAAATTGTGATGCATAGATGTTATTAATCCTTTCATACTCGAATTGATATTTGAAAATTATAAAAATCTGAGAATTAACAAAAGTATGATGAATTGAGACATTGTGAATAATTCATTTATATGTGATTTGGTTCTATAAAAATTATTGTCTTTTTCTCATTATAATTTGATTCCCAATTGATTCGCTCTAATAATTCATTACTATTTCGTTTAATTAATTCACTTGTATGTATGTACTCGTATGTTTGTTATTCTTTATTTTGCTTTGTTATTTATTATGTGCTCATAAATCATAAAATATAATTAAATTGTGGACGATTTTAGGTAACGTTTTATACAAGGAACTTTCTCTGAAATGTTAAGCGGTAAGACAATATGAAATGCAATCATTCTCGTCATTAACTCGAATAAAAAGAACGAGAATTGCAGAAATAAATTACTGTTGTTACTGGAAAAGTTTACAGCGTTAATTTAAACATCTTAAGAACTGGGAATTTTCCTTCGATTCCTTGCAATTAGAGTAGTCCCCATAAAATAAACATTTTAAAAGATTTATATGCATTTTATATTACATAGATATTTAGCAATTTGTTGAAATTATTATTTTGGTTAAGCAAATACATATTCATTATAATATTTTACTATTTTAAATTAATTTCTTGATTTGGCTCATATAACTAGGAAATAATTAGATAATATGTTGATAAAATTCATCAAATGCTACATTCAAAGTTTTATAGTAGATTACAGTTTTTCTTCTACATTTACAGTTTTAAATTTTTTCCCTGTATCCGAAGAACATGAATGTTTATCAGATGATGGCAGACGATTTGGTACTTGTCTTAATCCATACGAATGCCATTTAAATAAAGGCAATGCTAAAGGTGAATGTGCTTTAGGATTTGGAGTTTGCTGTGTTTGTAAGTAAAAAAAAAAGAAAAATTTTTACAACATCAATTAATTTTCTTATTTTTTTTTAGTTATTGCATCTTGCGGTAGTGAAATTTCAGCAAACAATACATATTTAGTTTCACCAAATTTTCCAAGTTTTATGACAACAAATGTGACCGAATGCAAATTAAAAATTAAGATGATGAGTCCAGATATTAGTCAACTAAGAATTGATTTTCATCATTTTTTGTTGGTATTAACATTTTAAATATAAAAAAATTATATTTATAGTAAAATTTTATTTATATAATTAAACTAGGGTCAACCAGATAGAAAAACTGGAATATGCAATGGAGATTCTTTTAAAGTAATAGGTGGACCTGGAGGAAATTTTACTATTTGTGGATATAATAGTGGGCAACATGGTAAGTTTTGATGATGTAAAAATAATTATACAATAGATGATAAATTAATGCTAAATAAATTTCAATAAAAAGAGGGGAATCAAATTGAATACAAAATTTATTTGTCAAATTGCAGTTGTGTAGCAAAAAAGACCTTTAAAACTTATTAAAATTAAATTGAACATATTTTTTATAACTAAATTTTAACAACCAATAAATTACACGTGAATGTAATATTTGTTAGCTTATTATGAAAATGCAATATTTTTTAGCTTATTATGATGTTGGAGGTCGTATGGCTGCTCGGCAAGCTTTAATGGGCTTATACACTTCTACTACTACGACTACAACGACTACTACTACAACAACAGAAAAATCAACCTTGAATTCAACAAATAATGACATACTGATGCATGAAAATGATAATGAAATAACAAATTCTACTTCAAATGACGCTATTCAAATGGATTCAGAGGATCTTAATGATGACGAACCGAAACCAGAATATGCTGAAATACTAATCGAATTTCGTGGCCAAATTATTCAAAAACGTTTTTGGGAAATACAAATATCACAAATTCCCTTTAGTCAAAGAGCTCCTGCTGGTTGTTTACAATATTTTAGAGGTGACAACGGCGTTTTTCAAGTAATTTTCAATTTCTTTTCAATGTTATTTTATGTTTTATTTGAAAATTAATTTTGTTTTAGACTTTTAACTTTGCTGATAATGGTAGACATTTGGCAAATCAAAATTATAGAGCTTGTTTCAGGCAAGAAACTGGAATGTGTTCTATTTTATATGAACCATGTGATACACAATCATTTCGTATTGGACCATCAACCAAACAGAACGATGAAGTATTGAATGATGAAATTCCAGAAATTTTAAAGGATGAAACAACTATTAATCCAGTAACAATGACAACAGCAGAAACAACAACTGTTGCAACAATTTCATCATCTACTATAGTTGAAACCACATCTACAACAACAGCAAATTCAACAATAACTACAACGACACCAGCACCTACAACCATAAGTATGTAATGCAAGATAAAATTCAGAATGATTAATTCTTGATTTTTTTTTATTGAAGGTGGGAACTCTGTTCTAGCTGATGAAACAACATTAGCAGCAAATATAACACAAGAAGATGAAGGTATTGAAGGATCAGGTGGAGCACAAGATGAACCAATTCGTTATGTTTCAACTTCATCAAAAAGACCACAAAGTGGTGGTTTCGATTTTTTCGAATTTTTCCGAGAAGCTCTTGATTTAGATGATTTTAGACGTAGGCGAAGCGCAAAACAAATAAAATTCTTTGAAAATAACGCTAGACAATTATATTCAACTTGTACTGATAGAATCACTTTGCCATGCATAATAGAAGATTTCATTGCAGATGGTAAGAGATGGGAATAGTATATACAAAAATTACAAAGTCCCTTTTTCGAATATTATTGAAAATATCTTCTTTGAATATTTCCTCTTTCTTCTTAAATGTAGGAAATTTTGGTTGTGAACCAGTGCATTGTGGAAATCAGTTTTGTTCACCAGGAAATATGGGTGCATTAGGTGTCAGCAACAGTAGTAATATTAACAATAATACAACTAATAGTAGTAATAATATGAATAAGACCGCTGAATCACAATGTCGTATTGAGTCAACAGTGACACCATTTTTTTTGGGTGTACATTTTGGTGATGGAATTGGTAAAGGGAGTCCCGAGGATAATATTGGAGCATGTTTAAAATTTAGTCAAATACCTTGCTTATAATAATTTAAATTTATTGTGCGATTGCATTTTTATTATTATAATTAAGATTAATTAAGATTAATATAATTATTAGGCGTGAAACATTTTATAAATGTGTATTTATAATTTAGAGCATGAATGTATGCTTATTGAGAGAATTTCTTATTAAAATTTTATCAAATATTCTTGTAGTTTAAAAATTTAGTTTTGTCCAAATTTTTTTTTTTCAATTAGTGTGAATGTAATTTATTAAAGTATAATTGTTAGTGGAGTCAGCTTGAATTTGTTTTTCATATATTTTAGATGTTGTGCTAATTAAAATATAAACTAGACAAATAATAAACTAAGTTAATTTTGAAAAAAGTGTTCTTTAATGTTAAAAATAGTTTGTTGTAAGATTTTTCATTTAATTTCAAAAAATAAAAAATTTAAAAAATTTTTATAAATAATCATATTTATTGAAAAATAATTTTTGTTACGGAAAATGACTAGTATTTAACTCTAATTATTGAAAGTGTTTTTAATAGCACAGAAATTTTTAGGGCTCCTGTAAAATTTTACAAATTTTTGATGAATTAAAACAAAGTACAAGACTTATTTTATGGGGTTTTTTATATAAAAAATATTGAAATTTTCTTGTCCTCCATATTTTGAGTCAAATAACGTTTAGAATTCTGTAATTTCTGTTCTATAAATTTTCATTCTGTAACGAAGTGAACATAGGACACAATTTGTGAAAACCTACGAAAATTAGGAATTTCAATTAGTTTTTTAATGAATTCGGAAATATTCTTTGAAAATTGCAATTAAATTTGTATAAACTAAGATTTTACATTGTTATTAGAAAAGATTTTTAGAATTTCCAAAAATTTATAATTCTGTTATAATCCAGATTTCTGTTTAAAGTATAATGAACTAAAATAAAATTATTGAAAATAAAATATTCCAAAAATATAGTAAGTGGAGCTGTTTTTAATATGAATTATTAAAGGCACTTAAAATTTAAAATTGCTTAAGAAATTTTTATTCGAGTTTTTATTTAAACGAGGAAAAACAGGCAAAAAATAAAAAGGATAACAAATTTCCACTGAATATCGTTAAAAAAAAGAAACTACAATTTTTTTTCGAAAAGTAAAAGAAACCTTACCGAAAAAAATAAAAAAAAATAATGAGAAAATTTAATTTTCCAGACTTTTTTTTTTAAATAAGAAAAAAAAAAGGAAAAAAAAACTCAACCTACACATTTTATATGGCATAATTCATTTTTATGTTTTCAGAAAATTAAACAAAAAATTCTTCACCATTTTCTTTTTTGTAGTTTCTATTGGATTTTCTTCCTTCTCCTTCCTACTCAACTCTTTTACTCTTCCTCTATCTCGTCCTCATTCTTTTATTAAATAGCACTAATAACATATTATGCTTATATTATAATATGTGCAACACTATTAACGGTTAGTGATCCTTGGACAACTTTTATAGTATATCGTATATCCTTTCATATGTTAAAAAAGAAAGAAAAACTGTTATAATGCGATACATTACTTTTAGTTGTACTTTTTTCTTTTTATACCCTTCATTTAGTAAATAATAAAATTTTATTTTAACGGTATATTCTACATAAGTGCGACGGCTTTTTTTCTTGTACAGAGTGTTCTCAATTTTCATTAGATTTTATAATAAAAAGAGTAGTTAAGATAATTGTATGGTTCGTTATTCAGAATTTATGCATCAAATATAGTTCATTAATTTTATTTGCTTAGAGCTATAAAAATTTAATTGAATTAGATGTAAATATAATGTGTAAATGTCTGTGAATCAGAATTATTATATTTGATGAAAAATTCAGAGAACTAGAACTTTATCAAGTTCTGATTAAAGGAAGTCTTTGAAAAATTTTTGAAATTTAAATTTTGCGAAACAATTTTGTGGTTATTGAAAATTTTAAAAATTATCAACATGGTTTTGTCCTTTTCAGCTTTTATCTACTTGCTTTACATGTAAAGCCTATAAAATGTATAACATTAAGTTCACCAATGAATTGCAGCTTATCATTGCCCCTGACTCTCTTAAGAATATCAGTAAAAGAATTAAAAATTTTATGAAAAGTTTTATCTATAATTTCCACCATCTTTTTCAAAAGTTCCATTAATCTCTCTATTTCTTTTTCCTTTAAAAACTTCCAGTTTTCTCGTCTTTGGAACCACTATTGATATTTCAATGGAAATTTTAGAAATACAAAGGCAATAATTGTTATATGAAGCTAATGTTCAATAGTTTCAGCAATTAAATTGTAATGTTAGAGTAAGTGTACCGTATGAAGATCACGTTTCCTAAGGCAACGTTTCACAAGTCAAAATATTATATATTTGGTATAAAATTAAATCATTTCCAGAAAATCAGTCAGTGTTAATTATTGAAAATTTGTGATCGATTGCCAAAAAAAAAAATAATTAATTGTTCCCATTAAAACTTCAAATAAAATTTTGGATAGTTTAACTTAATTATTAATTTAAATTTAATAAAGTTTGGAAAACATGCAATCAAAACATGTTTGAAACTTGCCAAACCTATTCAAAAGAAGTTAAGTTTGTTTTCAAGGATTTATGTTTTAAAATAGTTGAATAAAAAAAACCGGTAATAACTAAAATGACAGTTTTTATAAATTTTTTTTGTAGGACCAGATTCTTCTTATTTTTCATTTTTGGTACGAATTAAAATAAAACAAAAACGAAAGCAAAAAAAAATTAAACAAACAACAGCAGTAAATGTAAGTTAAATATACGAAAATGACAAAAAATATCCTGGTTTTATGTGCCTCCGGAGATTTTTTTATGAAACAAATTTTTTTTCTTTTCTTATTTGGTTTTTTTCCACTATTATTTTTCACTTTGCTCTTTCTTATTTTTTTTTGTTATTTTTTACGATTGTTGTCTTTAATTTTTCCTCTTTTTGCTTACATTTTCATTTTGTTATTTTACACCATAACATTTGATTTTCACTTAAAAATACCGTGCATTTCAAAATTGTGCGTTTAAAGAAAAATTTAACTTGATAATTGAAAACGATATTTGGAATTTAATAAAAAAAGAAATTAATAATTTTAAAATTAAGTCTTCTACATCTTAAATTTTTTAAATAGGTTAGATACGATTGTGCAAGTAATATTCTAAATGTCGGATATTTGTGGCCTCACAACATTGCATCTAAACTATAAAATGTTATCAATATTATGAAATGTTATCACTAAACTGCTTAAGATCAGTTTTGTTAAATTGAAAAGTCATAAATTTTTGAAAATTTTCAAAATGTTCTGAAATTTATTTAAAAACTTGCATAGTGACAAAACCATAAATATATTTTGTGAATGAGTTCATGGATTGAAGAAAATAGATGCAAATTTTATAGTGTATGCTTTGTTTAAGACATACTATAGGACATACTCGATATCTGTTCCAGTGTTACCAACTCTTTCTTGTTCAAATTACCACTTTTATTTCAAAAATTCCCATTTTTTCTTCTGCCAAACCCAATTACTTCCCTTGGAATTGAAATTTCAAAATTAATTTGAAAAGCCGAATTTACGGAATATTTAGAAAATTAATTCATATTTTGATTATTATTGTTAAAGGACTCACACAATTTTGATATTTTTCGACAGAGAATTTCAATTTTCAGGCCTTAAGCTAAAAATACTGTTAAAGCTAATAAGAATTTAAGTTCCATAGGAGCATTATATTTTCGAAAAAATTTTAAAAAATTATTTTTCAAGCGAAATAATGAAAATTCTATGCTTATATTACGCATATTTAACAATCAATTTCTCTTTTTTTTTACATCCCACTGTATAACAGTAAAATAGAGTTTATTATTATTGTTTGAATTCCCTTAAAGTATAACACAAGAAAAAGAAAAGCAAAAAAATAAAAATGGAATTTTCAATTCTTTTCAAATAGCATTCGTACATAATAATCTATTCTTACATTATTTTATATTAAATGCAATAGTGTGCGTTAATATGTTAATATATATATATAGTATAACACAAATATGAGTGTATAATGAAAAGAAATACTTTTCTGAATATTCTTAAATTAAATAGTTTTCCTTTTTTTATGGAAATTGTAAACATTTTTACTGATTTTAAAAGCAATTTGAATATTAAAGCAGAATGAAAGGTAAATATTAAAGGAAAAAGAATAAAAAAAAAGAGAAGAAAATAAAACAAATTTAAATAATAAAAAAAAAAATTTAAAGGTTGAAATTATTCCTTTCCTGTTTTTATTATATTGAAAGAATGCTTGGCATTTTATCTGCTGATATTTGATTTTAAATTTTTTTTTTTTATTTAAATAATATTTTTTTTTTTTTGGTTTGCAATTTCTATGAAAATAGACCATAAAATAAAATCAACCATTTTGTTTAATTGGTTAAACGTGTTCAAATTGTAAGACTTTGAATATTTATTTAACAAAAACAAAAAATTGAAATTAGAATAGCAATGTATAAATAATAATAATTCTAATTAAATTAAAATTGTTTGGTTTTTCTTTCATTTTTTTAACATTAAGAATGAAAAAGGAAAAAAACAACTGCATTAGTTATGGAAGGTTTTTAGTACTAGCAATAGTAAAAAAATTTTTGAAGGGTATTGGAAACTATTTTGCTTCAAAAGTAAAAATTGAAAAATGAATTTCCAATTGCAATATACGACACAACACAAGACATAACAAAAACGAAACCAGTACAAAGTAATAGATTGAGTTCATGTTGGCAAATCTTAAAATTTTATTCTACCTCTGTCAGCGCAGAGCTAGAATAAAATCTGCTAAAGCAGAAAATTGAAAAAACTGAAGGAATCAGCTCTACTTTTAAAAACAGTTGACAGCACTGCATAAATAACAATTAATTTTTGAAATTAAATTAAATGCCTTTAAAATTTATTTAAAATAATTGAAATATTAATTAGCATTGTCTCCTATATTTTCACTTTATAATTATAGCTTTTCAATTGTATTTTTAAG